GTGAGTGTTATATAGTGTACACAATTTCATGACCACCAGAACAGGTTGCTATGCTCCAATGCTGGAGTTTTATACAATGTTGAGTATCCATGTTCCAATACCTGCTTTACTTAAATTTTACTTCAATTTAAAAAGTTGTATGTTGAGTGACCAGATCCTAAAGCATAGTAGTCTTCTTGATTTAGTAATTTCTCTATTGATAAGCAACAAATGCTCTGTAGGACACAACTAATTGAGATCTGAGATTAAAGCCATCTTATATTTCCATACCAATTACTCAGATTCATAGTCTCTTGCACCCCTTAGAACGGGGTGGGCAGGTGGGCAAACGGTCCAGCCCTTCAGACATTTTAATCCAGCCCTCGAGCTCCCACCGGAGAGCAGGGTTGGGGCTTGCCCTGCTCCGCATGTGCCGTGGCTCATGGAAGCAGCGGCATGTCCCTCCTCCAGCTCCTACGTGTAGGGGCAGCCAGGGGGTTCCACACGCTGCCACTCCCGCAGCTCCCATTGGCTGGGAACCACGGCCAATGGGAACTGCAGGGGTGGTGCTTGCTGACAGGGCAGCGCTCAGAGCCACCTGGCCAGAGCCTGCACCTCTGACCCCCTCCCGTGCCCCAGCCCTGATCCCCCTTCCCACCCTCCAAACCCCTCAGTCCCAGCCCAGAGCACTCTCCTGCACCCCAAACCCCCCATCCCTAGCTTGCGCCCCCCCCCCCCCCCACACACACCAGTCCCCTGCTCCAGCCTGGAGCCCCCTCCCACACCCGGAACTCATTTCTGGCCCCACCCCAGAGCCCACACTCCCTCCCACACCCCAACCCCCAATTTCATGAGCATTCCTGACCCTCCATACAGTTTCCATACCCAGATGTGGCCCTCAGGCTAAAAAGTTTGCCCACCCCTGCCTTAGAACAAGTTTTTAAACTGTGGTCTATAGGATCTTTGCTGGTCACATGCTCCTGGCTCGCCTCATTTCCAACTGCTAACTCACATTAAAAACAGAGCAAAGCACATTTTCTTATTTCTCCTTCTCCATATAAGCAATTGCTGCAGTCGTCACAAGAATGGTATTTGATCAGCAGTCACAGAGGAGGTGATCCACATAATTGTGAATGTGGGGAGAGGTGGTCCACAAGACTCTCTCTCGAGATGTGATCCACCTTACGACAAAGCTGGAGAACCCCTACTTTTAGCCAAATCTCTACGATTGTAGTCTCAGACTCAAGAAACAGAAATTACATCTTCATATGCAGAATGGATCAAATGTGCAACAGTGAGAAGAATATATCTGCAAGAAATTAGTATCCACTTTTCAGGGTATATGAAACTATACTAGAGAGACGTATCATGAACCAAACATGGCCCATACACTAGTTACTGAAAAAAACCTTTAGCAAACCACAATGGGTTCTAGTAGTTGGAGATGGAATACACATCTATGCACATCTGTCTAATATCTAGGCAGCTCAGAAGAGCACTAAGGGCACCTCCGCACTGGACTCAGATTCCAATTCTACCACCAACCATTCCCTCTAAATTAATCAAGCTCATACCAAGGGATCTGTTAAACCTGAACAAAATTATACTATTGAACTAAGAGTTTCCTCAAGAACACGACTCTTATGGACATGGTCCATGGCAGTGTGTTTTTAGAAGACAAACTTTGGCACCCCTGTCTGTTTCATGTTTCATTTATTTTTGGGAACATTGAAAGTTGTGATACTTGCAAGAAAAGAAAAACTCAAAGGCACACCAACTTGTGCTGAACATTTATTTTCATGCTCTTACACAAATGAAATGCTTGCAGCAAAATGTATTTCATGGCAGGTTAAATCCTATACCCCTCGCAGCACATTCACAAATGGCTCTGAGGAGCTCTGCACAGATAAGTCTTCCACCAGTGTGTCCTATTGCTGTTTCTATACTTCAGGGTTACAGCTTGCACCCGAAACAGGGTTTGGGCAATAAGTCCTGGTAGTCACAGTTCAGGAGGCCCCCATAGGTTTGGGGTCTGCAGCACACATAGGACACAGTCTCCTTAAGCATACTCTACTAATCCTATCCCCTTCAGGAGAGGTGAATATGTTTATCTAGATTCCAGGCTTTTCTTTGCTCACAAGATATGACTGTAAATGTTTTTCTAGAAGTTAAGTTTATTGCCCTGAAACTATTGTTTTCATTTATGTGGGAGAACCCCAAAAGGGAGGGCAAGTAGGAGCCATACCTGGATATTTTGCTGAATATGCACTATAAAAGACAATGGGTCACATTCTAATCTAATCCATTACATCAGTGTAAATCCAGAGTAACTCTACAACAGTCAATGGAGTTACTGTAAATTTTCACTGGTGTAACCTGCACAAGATTTTCAGAGTCCACTGGAAAGAGTTTATTACATCAGAAATTCTAAGCAAAGCACACTAACTTAAAGCATCAGACATGACAAGATGATAACTGATATATTTAAGATAAGTGGTAACATGGACATCCCCTCAAAAGAGGGAGGGCAACCTAGATCAGGGATGGGGAACCTTTTTTCTATCAGGGACCATTGACTCACAGAAAAAAAAATCAGTTGCAGGCCACACACAGCCCCGTGGGATATATATATATGTGTGTGTGTGTGTGTGCGCGTGTGTGCGCAGAGGCTCCAGGCTTCCCACCACACCAGGGCAAGCCGGCGCTCACAGCTCCATCCCCGTGGGGGGGAGGGGGGAGAGGGAGGTGTGAAAGCTTGGGGCTTCCCCTAGGCTCCGAGGTGGGGCCAGAAATGAGGGGTTCAGGGTGTGGGAGAGGGCTCCAGGCTGGGGTGCAGGAGGGGGTGAGGGCTCTGGGGTGGTGCTGGGGATGTGAGGTGGAGAAGGGGGGGTCCAGAATGGGGCCAAGTTTGGAGTGCGGGAGTGGGCTGAGGGTTGGGGTGTGGGGTCCGGGAGGAAGTTAGGGTGTGGGATGGATCTCAGGACTGGGGTGGGGGTTGGGGTGTGGGCTGCAGGCTCCAGGAGGCTCAGGGCTGGGGCACAGGGTTGGGGTGCAGAAGGGGGACAAGCTGCAGGATGGGGACAAGCTGCAGGCTCCAGGAGGCTCAGGGCAGGGGGTTGGGGTGCAGGAGGGGGTTCCAAACTGGGGCAGGGGGTTCAGGGTCTGGGCTCCGGCCAGGTGGCACTTACCTCAGGCAGCTCCCAGTCGGTGGTGCAGCAGGGCTAAGGGAGGCTCCCTGCCTACCCTGGCTCCACACTGCTCCCAGAAGCGGCTGGCATGTCCGGCCCCTAGACGGAGGCGCAGCCAGGCGGCTCTGCGTGGTGCACACTGCCCACACCCGTAGGCACTGCCCCTGCAGCTCCCATTGGCTGCGTTCCCAGCCAATGGGAGCTGCGGAAGCAACACTCAGGGTGGGGTAGCACACACAGCTTCCCTGATCGCACCTACGTCTAGGGGCCACAGGGACATGCCAACCGCTTCCCAGAGCTGCGCAGAGCCAACCGGACTTAACGGCCTGGCAATCGTAGTTTCCCCCTGCAGCGGGGTGAGAAGAGAGGCTCAGGACTTCTGGCCCACAGTACGGAGACTTGCCACGGACCAGTTGAAATTAGGAAGCGGGTCAGATCCGTCCTGGGGGCCGTAGTTTCCCCACCCCGACCTTGAGAAACATTATTAAGAGCAATAAAGAAGCTAAATCCATCAACATGACACTCTGAAACCTGGACAGACCTGCACAAGACCAAAATAAGTGGCAGAAACAGGTAGACACCCTATGCACCTGAGGGTGCAGGAGAATAAAGAAAAGAAAGAACCGAGTTCACAGGAAATCTATCATTAGGGCTGGATTGATGCTTAGGCACATGCCTTCCACTCCCTCTTGTGTCATGTCATGCGAGACATGGGAATGTAAGGTTTTGTTTAAAAGCAAAATGATGTTTTTAGTCCTCCCGGTTTTTTTTTTTTTTTTTTTAAAAGCAGCTTGATAACTTGACAAGTGTAATCAATGCATTTTGCAAACAGCCTAAAACAGCTGAGAGATGCAAACTGTTCCAACCGTCTTACTGGGGTGTTGATTCTGAAGCCCACTGGAGCAGAAGGTCTGCTCCATCCCAGGAGAGGAATTGGGATGCAGGAGGGGTGGTGGGTGGATGAAAGGGATTCTCACAGCCACTGCAGTTCATGCAGAGTTCTCCCTCTAGGTGAGCGGGAGCTGAAGATAGAACGAAAGTTTGGGAAGGAGGGAGGCCCCAGTTTTCTCAAAGAGGAGTGATGGGCTCCTCACCCACTCAGCAGACTGTTCCTGTGACTGGCCAATACCACTGCTGCCCAAGCAGGGGACAAGGCCATGAGGGGGGTGTACTTAGGGTCTTAAGTTATTCTAATATAGCTCTGCCATCTAGAATATTATTGTATGCAAACATTAGCATAAGGATATGCTTATATCACCATTTAGATTCCCCCCTAAACCTTTTCCATAATTTGCGTACCACACAAACGCAGTGCAATTTATTGTTCTTCAACTCAAGATCACACACAATCTGAATCCTTTCTTGCTGATCTTTTGAAGGTGGCTATGTGCACTGCATCCAGTTAAAACATTGCTTACATTTCTACAGCTTAGTGCTAACACACCACTTTCCCTTTCTGGTATTCTGAGATGAGCAAAATATGCTACTAAAAACAGACTCATAACAGATAAAAAGAAACACCAAGGTTTTCCTAATTCATTATTCCAATTTCTCTCAAACAGAATCAGCTTAAAGAACATGACTTAGTTTAAATTTCACCCATTGCTGGCAAGAGCTGGGATTTGACAATAGCAAATGTTCGTGAAATATGCATTATCTTTTACAGTATTGAAGTTTTGCCAGTGCCAGGTGATTAAACCAACTGCATAAAAGAGAGTCTTTGATTTAACTCTGAAGTTTAGTTCCTTTGGGCACATCACAGTATTAGTTTAAGAGTCACTTAGCTGCATATTTACAAGCTTCAGGGTTATTCATTCACAATAAACATTGCAAGCAATGTAACTTTACTTTATTGAAATATAAAAAGTAGTAATCAAATAATACTGAGTTTATTTGTAAATCAGGACAAAACCAGCCTGGCTTAGATTTGTTTATTGTACTGTGAAATAGTCAGTATATATTAGAGACAAAGTATACATGACTTCTAAGACAAAGAGAAAAAAATAAATTGATGTTTTAAAGTTTTACTCAATATTGATCAGAAGAATCTATAAATTATCCGCTGGAAGGCATTCAGCACAAAAGCTCTGCTTCTACAATTACAGAACATGGAAGAATACAAGATGTTCTGAATCCAACAAGCCACATACCTAAAATTTAATTGTAAAAGCTCTGAAAAGACTATCTGGAAAGTTTATAAACTCGTTTTCTTCTGAGACAGATTGATTTTATCTCCAAGACTTAGGGCCATTCCCTGTAAGGAAATAAAGAAGGAAAGATGTTCACATCTTGGATATTTCATAAAATTACTATCATCTCAACGCCCCCACCCAAAAACCCCCCAAAACACCACCACCTCTCTGTTACCAGTATTAACCTACAGTTCAGTATATAAAATTCATGAAACTAATTACATGGAAAAGAAAATATTTCTAATTCAACAATGACAACATTTTATTTATTTGTAGCTACAGTTCAGTACATAGTTTCCAAAAAGCATGAATAAGCTAGATTTGCGTACAATATCTTGCTGAAATAATGAACTGTAAATAGACTATATCTTTTGCTACTAGAAAGTTGTAACATCACCCCAAAAAAGCAAGAGTCAAGAATTTTAACCCCTTGACGTTGCACCATTTTAAAATGCGGTCAGTCCAGCAGTTACAAAAGTCAGTCCAAATGGCAGTAATTGAAGTTAGAGTGTTGGAAAAGCTCAACACTATCATAATACACACAAAATAATAATTATAAATAGAGACACCAGCTCTCAACATGCTGAGCCCCCAAAAATCTTTTCCACCTCCATAAAAAATGAGACTAGCCCATAAACAGAGTATGTGTGTGTGTTTTAGGGTCTCAGTAAAACTAACAAAAGTAAGGAAATTCAAAGTTCCAGCTGCTACTCAATCAATAGTGAATTACTCCCTAGGTTAGACCAAGTCACAGATTTAACTGAACTTAGTGTCTAATGTAGGAGTTCCATTGACATTATCGGTTCCATTGTAAACATACTACCCACTTCTATCAAAACCATTTCAAAATTCTTCCAACAGCATCATGTAAAGTAAATGGTTCTTTTGAATCCAAAAGTCCTAAAGGAACCCTTATGATAAGCTATGTAATATACTTCTAGTTATACATTAGTTTCTTCTTTATTCAAGGTTACGTTTTCTAAGGACCAAAAAATTCCCATAAAATCATCTTGTTTTTGTTTTTTTTTTGCAAGTGAGAATATTTTATATAAGTAGACTTCTTTTATATACACAGCAAATACATAGAAGACCATAACAATGGCCATACTGGACCAGACCAACGGTCCATCTAGCCCAGTATTCTGTCTTCTGACACCAGCCAGTGCCAGATACTTCTGATGAAATGAACAGACAAGGGCAATTATTGAGTAATGCAACTGTCATCGAGTCCCAGTTTCTGCCAATCAGAGGTTTAGGGACACCCAGAACATGAGGTTGCATCCTTGACCATCTTGGATAATAGTCACTGATGGACCTGTCCTCCAGGAAATTATCTAATTCATACTTCTGGCCTTCACAACATCCCCTGGCACGTTGACAGTGCATTGTGTGAAGAAGTACTACCTTATGTTAGTTTTAAACCCGCTGCTTACTAATTTCATTGGGTGACACTTGAGTCACGTGTTATGTGAAGGGGTAAATATCCCTTCCTATTCACTTTCTCCCACCATTCATGATTTTATAGACCTCTATCATATCCTTCCTTAGTTGTCTCTTTTCTAAGCTGAACAGTCTCAGCCTTTCTAATCTCTCCTGAGATGGAAGCTGTTCCATACCCCTAATGGTTTCTGTTGCTCTTCTGTATACTTTTTCCAATTCTAATATCTTTTTTGAGATGGGGTGGCCAGAACAGCATGCCATGGCATACTATGAATTTATATAGTGGCATTATGATATTGTCTGTCTTATTATCTATCCCTTTCTTAATGGTTCCTAACATTGTTAGGTTGTTTTTTTTTTGTTTTTTTTTTTAATAGAATCCTTTATTCCAACATGAGATGAAAATTACAATGGTGGTTTCAACACTTTGAGAAACAGCATGAGGGGCACGTTGGTGGTACATTATGTTTTTTAATAACAAAAGAACATAGGTCTGCAAATGGGATATGTTAATACAGCAAAATCTTGGACTATAATAATGCACTGCTGTATGAGGCACGTTAATTTGGTTTAAGGTACCCTGTTCCACCTGTTGAACTGCTCTCTCCCCCAAATAAAAAATAAATAAATCAACAATTGTGCTGTATAAGGGGAGTGGAGATTAAAGCTTTTCATTCAGAAAACCTAGTTTTAAAATTGAGACAGGGATTTCCTTCACTTTTCCTGAAAGTTGTGAATCTAATTAACAATACTAAAAATAAACCATAAACTATAATGCAAGCTCTGCAAATGTTTATAGAACTCATAATAAAAATGATAGCGACAAAGCTTTAAAAAAATCCATCATTCATTACCTGACTCTTTGCACGAATTCGTATGTGGCCAGTGACAGGAGCATCTGGTCCAAGATGAATTGGCTTTTCAATGCTGACGTTTGCAAGTGCATCTTCTCCAAATATGGAACGTGCATACAGATTGGCAGCCATAAAGCCACAGTAACCAGAAAGTGCCTAGAGAAAGAACACTTAAATTTAACTCTTTACAAAAGGCTAATTGTCCTTTAACAGACACATTTTGTTCCATATTAAGCACAACTCAGTAGGTTTTTATATTTAAAACCTATCCTTCTAAATACAGCTTTTTGTAAGATACCTGAACTCCGGTTCTGAAGGAAACATTAATAGATCTTTCTAAAATGAAAGCTGACAGAGATTTAATCAAGTAATTTAAACAAGATATAACTGGCATTTTCAGGCTCTGAAGTAATGCATAGCAAAAAGGCTTTAAGAAAGATTAATTCCTACTGAAAGGAAGGAAGGAAGTCTTGACCTATTGAAAAAAAATTGTGCTGACCATTCTGAAGCAGATATGTTAGTTGACATTTTATTAACTGCTTCTTGCTCAGCTACAGCAAGAAAGTGGTTGAAAATTACTCAGTTAACATGAATTTCCTTTTAGCTTTCTTAGAGCATACATTTCTAAAGTATATTAAATACTAAAGAATACTAAAATCTTCCAGACTAAACAAAGATCTATATAATTGGTGGAGGTTTATAAATTTAGAAACTAGACCAGGTAAATAGTCTAAAGAACACAAACTCCAAAAAGGGCACCGGAAAATACTATTCTATATAGGTTCCTATACTACGTTCATCATCATTAGTATCTAAGTGCCTTCCAGTAGTGAATTAATCAACTGGACTACACATCTGTGGTTTGTTTGTTTGTTTTCTCATCTTCTCTCTAGAGGGAGAAGTGTGCGCAGGAGTGTCTCTGTTTGGTAATGTGTGTTTTTGTTTTGAATTTTTTAAATATATAAATATATCTGATGTGAGTTCTAAGAAACTTATCCTATGCAACATGTGGCTTGCAAAGTTAGAATAACTCTACATTATTCAAAAAGTGAAATCAATGCCCAAGAAGAATTCAAGAGGGAGAAAAAAATATGCTATATTTTGGTATCCAAATCTATTTATACTCGCACAGTAATTTTACTCCAGTTTAAAAAGTACTTGAAGAATTTTCAGCAAGTATCTTACCTTCTCTGGGGTAAGGCATTTCATGTTGGTTGATTTTAGTATGTGCTGTAAGTATTCATTTAGATCAATGATGTTTGTATTAACTGTAACCTTCAAGAAAGAAAGAACAAGGTGTGACCATTTTCATCAGCTTCTCTGACACGTTTTAAATCTTTTTGTTCTAAGACTATGGAAAAGAAAGTGCCACTGTCAGTTATCCTGTAGTACCATACTGTACTTGTTGATGGCTGTAAGTCCTTTTATATTGGAGAATCTTACAAAAAAGTTGCATCTTCCACCATCCAGTGGTTAAGTAGGGATGGCCTCTTACTTTCTACCATATATTTAAATATCAGTCACAATAAGTGTACACCATACGTTGCTAAACATGTGAAAAGAGTCTTTATCATGAATGGTTGCTTCAAGTCTAGCTACAGCCTAAATGTTTACATTTGAATTACCACACCAGAACAAGTCAAAGATACATGTAGTCCAGTAGCTTTTCTCTGACTGACCAATGCTAGTGTTTACTTCACCCTCCAATGAAATACAGCCACCTCTTGAAAAAAGCAGCCGTTCAATAGCGTACTATGATACTGTTCAACACTGTACAATGATACTGTGACAGTTTAGGACAGAAAGTGAAGAAGAGTATTGTATCCAGTTGAAACTGCAAGAGAAATTTAGATAGGATGATCGTAATTAGGGTGACCAGATGTCCTGATTTTATAGAGACAGTCCCGATATTGGGGCTTTTTTTTTTATATAGGCACCTATTACCCCCCACACACTGTCCCGACTTTTCATACTTGCTATCTGGTCACCCTAATCGTAATTAGAGCAGGAACTTGGGAAAAGACACAAAAAAACTTATACTCTTAAAGTGGCACTGGAACTTTAATGACTACAAGTGGTCAGGACCTGTTTTATATGTCTGAGAGGGAAGGGGGGCTTTAGGTGTTTACTTTAAACTCCTTGGGAGAAGGGGTTTACTCTGCTAATTGGCCAACAAAAGCCTGGGTCAGGCAGAACTGCATGGAGGTCAGGTTACTGCAAGAAAGGTAGTGTGGAGCAGTGAGAGTGATTGTGCATGAATGTGTGTGCATCTATTTTTCCTTTTTTCATTGCTAGAAACTTTCCCATGCCAGAATCAAACTGCCTTTGCTATATCTCATATTGTGAAGATCCAGGATTACTCGAGGCTCAAGACTCAGGGAAGGAATTCTCAGACAAACTGGATGATAAAGTCAAGGGGCGTGAGGAAGGGAAAAAAGACAGGTATGGAAGGCTCTACTGCCTCACTATTCCAGGAAGCGCACCACATAGCCTCCTCTCAAAGATCTTTTTACGATGGCTGCCCTAGTACATCAAAGCTTACACAAAAAATTATGACCTTAGCTCAAACCTTGCCAAAAAAATCCAGGTATCTGCTGAAAAGCAGTGCCCAAGGAAAAGGGTGCAAGCTGGCACAAACAGCCAACCATAGGAACCAGTCCCTTTGAAGTTGCTCTTGGGCCAGCTCAACCACTGCCTGTGCTAACAGAAGAGGGCTAAAGATCTATCATTTGGACTCGGGGAGCTCCCAGCCCCGGTGTTTAGACTCTTATTACCAGACAGAAGAAATCTAGAGGGAGTAGGGGAAAAAGAAAAAAATCTGCCTGAAAAGTATGTTAGCATTCATTTTAGTTGGGTACAATTGTAATTTGTTGTATTACAGACTGAGATTGTACACATTTTTTCTATTTAATGACCCTAATGAGCTGCCCAATTTGATGTGCATATCACATGCAAATTACTTCCACTCTTTGACAGGGTTACTGGCCTGTTGGATATACGGGAAGCAGTAAACAGGATATATTTTGATCTAAGCAAGGCTTTTGATTACAGTCCCACGTGACATTCCCACAAGCAAACTATGGAAATGCATTCAAGATTAAAATTATGAAGTGGTTTGAAGATGATTCTCAAAAAGTAGTTATTGGGAGGGCAAGTCTAGGCGGTCCTACAGGGACCAGTCCTGGGTCCAGTACTAGTCAATATTTTCATTAATAACTAGGATAATGGAGTGGAGAATATCCTTATAAAATAGGCAGGGAGGGGTTGAAAACACTTTGGAGGACAGCATTAGAATTCAAAACTGCCTCAAAAAAATGGGAAAATTGGTCTGAAACCAACACGATGAAATTCAATAAAGACAAGTGCAAAGTACTTCACTTAGGAAGGAAAAATCAAATGCACAACTACAAAATGGGGAATAACTGACTAGGCAGTAATACGTGAAAAAGAATCTGGGGGCTATAGTGGATTACAAATTGAATATGAAGTCAATGTGATGCCCCCGCAAAAAAGACTAATTCTTGGGCGCATTAACAGGAGTGTCATATGTAAGACAAGGGAGGTAACTGTCCCACTCCACTCGGCAACGGTGAGGCCTTACCTAGAGTACTGCACCCAATTCTGGGTGCCACACTTTAGAAAAGATGTGATCAAACAGAGGACAGCAGCAAAAATGATAAAAGGTTTAGAAAACCTGACCTATAAGGAAAAGTTAAACAAACTGGGCATGTTTAATCTTGAGAAAAGAAGACTGTGGGGAGACCTGATACTCTTCAAATATGTTAAGGGCTGCTATAAAAAAAGATTGTAATCTACTGTTCTCCATGTCCACAGAAGGTAGAACAAGAAGTTATGAGCTTAATCTACAACAAGGGAGATTTAAGTTAGATATTAAGAAAACTTTCTTACTATAACTGTAGTTAAGCTCTGAAATAGGGTTCCAGGTGAGGTTGTGGAAACCACATCACTGGAGGCTTTTAAGAACTGGTTGGACAAACACCTATCATGAATGGTCTAGATTTTCTTGTTCCTGCCTCAGCGTAGATGCCTGGAATTGATGACTTCTTGAGGTCCCTTCCAGCCCTACGTTTCTACGATTCTCTGAAACCTGAAAGATGCTGAGCTTGTAAAGATTTCTGCAATGTCCACAAGAATAAGTGACAGGCTTCATACACTGTACTGCACCCCGTCTGAGTCAATTTGTGTGGCTGCAATTGAGCCTCCCTTGGATTGGAGGTAAAGCTCTAAATGCACCTCAGACATAAAGCAAGGCCCAGCTTCAGTAAATAAGTGACAGGAAACCAACAGAAGTATCAGACTTTTAAAACCAATGAGCTACATATTTTACAGCTTGGAGACTTCCTTTCATATCCTGGAGCAGCTTTTCAAATGAGGAGGTTTGGCAGAAGACAACGGTACACTAACTTATATAGGGCAAGCTATCTACAGAATGGAGACAGCTGCAACCTTCTAGTTTTAAAATGAAGCTTGGGTTATGTAAAATAACCAATGTGTTACAGAAGCACCTACAGTAACTGAAATAATTTTTCAGTGATGGTTTTTGTTGAAAGCTGTTGAGATAAGGTACTAGTGTAAAGCTAGGTAACAATGGCAAATAGATCATCATCAAAAGAACTAACTTTGTTTTCCCATTCAAATTCTGCCCACATCTGGCGGAACTCTGCATCAGTACAAGCAGCAGGCTGGATGTAATCCATGATGTCAATGTGAATATCACTGAGGACAACACAGTTTCGGTCACTGGCTGCTCCAGATACATCATACACTGCAAACAAGAAACACAAACCACAGGTTTACAAATTGAAAGTGGCTACAGAATTGTCAACACAAAATGAGTGTTCAATTGTGATTTGTCAGTATAACCAACACATGTTGGTCTCTGTCCTTCTAGTGGCTGGATACCAGAGGTTTAAAAGTCTCCTACAGCCTTTGAATTAACAGATGTGGGTCTTTTAGCTCAGGCAGAAGAGGCTCATGCTTTTAGATCCAAAGAGACTTAGGTTCAATCCCCACTACTGACCACCCACAGGCATTGCGTTACACCAGCATGCTTTTAAAAAAATATTATATATAAAAATAAAAATTACATTCATAATGAATTTTTTTTAAATCCAGCAATAAAACATTCTCATATTGTAGAACATTTCACTTATCTTCCAGCATTAAATATTTTTTAAATAATTCTACTTCTCCACAGAAAGTTCAATATTCTACTTTTTTTAAGGTTGCACACAGAATTGTCTACTTACCAATATTACCAAAAATGATTCCATTTTCTGTTGAAGCTACTTTGACATTAGCCTTAATGTTTGCAAAATCATGAGGAGCAAGCGTCAAAGGAGATGGTTTTTCCACTAATTTCAAGTCACCTGTTTAAAAAAATTTTGAAAGAAAAGTTTACGAACAGACAAGAAATAAAGTCCAATTAAAATCAGTTTCAGGACACAGCAGATTACCATTTCTGATCTGAATTCTAAAATCTTACCAAAATTACAATGAAGTCAATAAATTGTAAAACATTGAGCATACATTTTTGAAAGCTGAAGCACTAATGAAATTTACACATTCATTAAAACATTAATGGACTGATTCAAAACCCACTGAAGTTAAATGGCGCTGGGCTTCGGCCCCTGGGCAGGGAGGGGGGCACTTGGGCATAGGCAGTTTAACTTCTATGTTGGGGAGTGGGCAGGGCCCACCAGAGCTCGAGCCAGCTCCGCATGGTGGGGCATGGGAATGGAGCACCACCTCCACCCCGACTCACCTCAGCAGGCCACCCAGTCTGTCTAGGTGGGTGGTTGTGCAACCAAATATTATCACTCAAAGAGGGGGAGCTCAGCTCAAAAAGTTTGAAAACCATTCAGGGTGCAGGGAGAGGCTAACTAGGGACTGTGTGCAAGCAGGGGTATAGCTCAGGGTGCAGGGAAAGGGTAGATGGGGCTGTGTGCAGGCAGGGGGGTAGCTCAGGGTGCATGAAAAGGGGCAGATAGGGGCTGTTTGCTGGGAGGGCCTTCCCCTTCAGTCACTGCTCCCCTAGGGCTCTGCCAGCCATGGAGCCGGGTCAACCGCCCAGGTGGCTCTTACTGGCTGCAGGAGCAGTCAAAGGCGGCTGGGAGCTGAGGAGCAGCTGCAGCCCCAGTAACCAGCAGGAGGAGGAGATGGGGGAGTGCCGTGGCTGCCTGCTCCACGGCACAAGCCAGAGCAGCAGCCATCCTGCACTGCTGCTTCTTGACTCTGACCTGGCCAGGTGGTGGGAGAGGAGGTGTGGAGCTGCTCCTGGGACTGCCCTGCTCTGGCATTGCAGTTGCGGGTGGGGGCAAGACCCCCATGCACCTTCCAACGCTGCCCATGGGCTTGGAGCTTCTGCCCTGCAGGGTATCGGGGCTTGTGGAGCCCCGGTTGGGAACCACTGGTCTATAATATCAACATATTAAATGTTTAAAACTGATGTGAAGAAAAATAAAGACAGAAAAAAGCTTCTTTGACACCTACACTGCAGCCTCCATGTGAAATTCAAGTCATGTGCCCATTCTGATTTTTTTTTCTTCAAATTTTAGTCTGAATTTAGTGCTTATGAAAGGTGATGGAATTACCTAGGTCCCTTATTCATCCACAGAGCAGATAAAACATGTGCAACAGCAGTCCAAGTTTCCCCACACTGCCTTGGCAATTCTTTAAAAGGCATTTTAAAATACCTTTTAAGATAAGTAGTCAGTTTTATTAAACAATTCTTTAGGCATTTATAATATGAGATGCAATTTCTTGTACTTCAACAACGTCCACTGCTTAATTTCAGACCTAATTATATCAACAAATATTCTTGTTGCACTAGATTATTCCTTACCTAGTGTGGCTAGTTCTAATGTGCAGTTCTGCAAAGTATCACTGGTCTGGTTTACTACAAGCACATCCAATACAATATCATACTGGTTGACATGAACATATGCTTCTGCATAGACAGGATCTGAGAAACCTGTCAACTGAGTAACCTGTCAAGGAAAGAAGATTAATACAAATTGTTGAAGTATCTTTCCCCATTGTCAGTTTAAAATGTTGAACATGGTCACACAAGTGTAGAGAGGGAATGAAAACAATAGAAAAAGAGAAAAATATTTGCTAAGACTGATGAGACTGGTAGTTTAAGACAAAATTGCAAATTAAACAAGAGATCTGTACAAAGAAGAGCTTTAGTTTCGTACTATTAGCTTATTGTGTTTGTATTTAAACCCCTGCCCCTGAAAAATCTAACTCTTCACCCTATCAATAGAAGCTTAGTCAACAAACTGATTAATGATTTTTTTAAAGTAATCAATTTAAAAACCATTAAAAGTTCATAAATTTCACTGTTACGAGAGGGTCGTCAGGTATGAAAAGATTAACTAAATAGGCAATAGACCCCCCCCCTTATATGCATATACTTTATTTTGTTAAATGTGAGTTAAAGTTCAGAATATATATCAGACTCTTAAGGATTAAAAAAACGCTCTAAACCATAGAATCTCTGCCCCTCCAACTTACAATAATGTTACAGTTATTTTTAAAAAAAGCCAACATTAGAAACCCAGAAAATGCTGAGTTATGATTAAACTGAACGAAAACCAAATATTGGAAAGTCATCTTCTCTGGGAAGTTTCTTAGGTTTGTTTTTGATTTTTTAAGATATTTCTGCTTCCTGGTCCCCAGAGCAGTAGCGAAGTAGGGGTTCTTTCCCTTGGACCCTCCTGAATGGCTTCTGGGGAGTAGAAGGCAGGAAAGTGGCGCAAAAAAATACTGCATGGGGCCAAAAGAGCCTCAGGATACGGGGAAGAAAGAACAGGATCTTCACTCCATGGCACTCCCTGTCGTCCTCCTCCCATCACCCAATAAACCTTACTCGGCTCTTGAGCCATCCAACAAACTCAAGGTCTCCACAGTGCACCACGTCACCACTTCCTGGTTTCTCTTCTCCAATTCCCACCCCCGCACCCGATATCAGGGGGCCAAGGGAGCACCATGAAGCACAGGGACAAAAGGATTCTTCACTTCTCAGGACTCCCCCCCCCAGCCTTCCTCTCCAACAACAAAACCTAACTGAACTTTTCAGATACCTGATGAGCTTAATTAGGTTCCTTAGCCCCCACAAACCCAATTGTCAACATTTGACGCTAGGTGTGAGCAATACGCTTACAGAAATAAGATACTGAATTATACATTACCTTGTTGAGTTTGGATGCCAAGGGATCAGCAGCTTCTTTTCTTTGTGTGGTCCCCATTGCTGCCAGAAGGCTCAGCTGAAATTGGTCTTCCTTTGAGTTCATTTCATTTTTAGCAGTAAGCTGCATGAAGGAAATGGGGTCATCTGGCTGAACTGTCACATTCCTCTTCTCTGACTCTTTCTGTGGTAAGAAAGCAAGGTATTAATTCTATCTTCTAACATACACTGAAGTAGTGAACTTTATGCAGCTCCTGGAGTATCCCTGGATGTGAGCTTACTTCAAAATTCAAGCACCCAAAAGTTTATGATTACATAATGAAATTTACAATATCTCACCTTCTGAGAAAGTTTCTCCTCTTCTAGTTTAGCTGACAGCATATGAGAAAGGGACTGTCTGCACTCCTTGTTGAAAATATCATTCATTAGAGGAGAACATTCTGACAAAACCTTCAGACATAGGGAGATACGATCCACGTCGTCATCTGTAATTGGCTTCTTGGGAAGAGATGACTTACCCAAATGGAGAATAGTGGCCATTAGCAACATAGCCTCGGCAATAAAAGACTAAAGGTGGAAAGGAGAGAGGAAGGGGGTTATTAAATCTTACATATCCTTAAAATTGTAGGAATATTATATTTGTCTTAACATTCAAGTTTAAAATATGGTTAAAAATTAAAACTATATCCCAGTAGGTAAGATGATTTGTGTCAGTGACTTGTTGCTTAGAACCCAAGAGACCTGCCAGTCATACCAGTTGGAAAATAGTAAGAAATATTTAGTTGAGGTTGGTCCTCCTTTGGTCCCCAACTGATTTAGTTGGGGTTGGTCCTGCTTTGAGCAGGGGGTTGGACTAGACGACCTCCTGAGGTCTCTTCCAACCGTAATCTTCTATGATTCTATTTGGGACTAGATTAATTATCATCAAACACTCAATGTAAGCATTTCATTTTTGGGCCTCTCTCAAAAGCTTATGATCAGATCTGTAAGAACTACCAGAGGAAATATGACTTACATTTTGTTTCTTCTTTTCCTGAACAAGAGCCACATAGCGTAGGGCAATCTTAGTCAAAGTTGTGGCAAGGGAGGCAGCAACAAAGAAATCCCCATCCAGCAAGAATCCTCGTAATGGAGGTCTGCAAAGAAAGTCAATCATGGGGTGTTAGTTTTGGAAGACATTGTCTCTCTCCTCCTTTTTTCCATATTTTACTTTAGCTCTCATATTGTGAGACCAGTGTTGTACAGACAGTTTGGAAGGTCTCAGAGACTAAGTGAAGTTTTACTTACACTGGCAGTGAGATGGGAAGTGGAAAGAATAAAGGATAACTTTCACTTTTATCATCAAAGGATCTCACAGCTCTGTACCAGTATGAGCTAACTAAGCCACAAAATAACTCACTGTGAAGTATATAAGAGTATAGTAATCATTTCACCCAGTACATGAGATAGAACATGCAACTGTTTAGCAGAGCACAGGAACATTAAGCAATAATTTAGGTAACAAGTGACGAACACCAGACCCAATTAAAACTGTAGGGAGAATTTAGGTAGATAGAATGTAATTTACCCATATTGGAATTTGGCCAGTACATCAGAGTTAACAATGTACTTTTACAAGAAGTGCCATGTGTTGACTAAAGATCACAAGTGGTCAAAGTATAATCTGGAAGATAATAGCCTTCAATAGGGCAATGGTCTTTACCATAAAGCTCAGGTATTAACTCAGCACTGAACAGAGAGGGAGAGACTAAAACAGAAAAGGAAAGAATAGTAAGACTTATGGAGAAAATCATGGAGAAAAATGGAGGAAACAAAATGACAAATGAGAAGACAGAAAGTGGAGAATATAATAGAAGAAAAAACTCTTAGATTTCCACTGCCAGTCCACATCATAAAGCTACAGAACAACCCAGGATTAAAAGAAAATATTAAACTAGATCAGTCTGTATCACAGAAAAATGGTTTTCAGCCTAAATAAACTGTTTTCTGGAAAAGCGGAAACAACTAGAAAATGTGGCAATTTCCGTATTTTATTGCCGCTACAGCGCCACATTTTGGCCAAGTATCAATCCACCCTGTTTTGTTTGTACATTTAAGAACTAAAGGGGTGATAGACACAAGTTTTGCTATTGGAGATTGACATAAGAAAGGAGGATATGGAGGGGCAATAGAGCAATGAATGTTTCAAACACACACCGAAACCCTCTCGTAGGAAGAAATGTTTAGCTGAAGAATACGTGCAGAAATTCCTTTTCAGGCAGAGAAGAATTCTGGAAAGGCTTTAAAGTTCTAACCATTTTTAATGTAGCTACCACTAGTAAAATATAAAATGCCTAGTTACCTATCTTCTTCCTTTTTGGCAGGTCGGGAACTACTGAGGGCACTCTGTGTAGCATAGGTGCCCATCTCCGTCACCAATTTTTGGGTTGGACCCACAGTCACCTCCTCTTCAGGTTTCATATCACCAGCTTCTTTCTTTATTTCAGATTCCACTATTGGGATCTGACAATGAACAACAGGAGACATTAATATATGCTAAATTAAAGAATTCAGTAAAGAATTTGAATATAAAGACAATCTTTTTGTTTTAAGGAAAGCAGCCTTTTTTTCATAAAAGTGTTGTCACTTTCCTCAGCTTCTCCACCTCTTAAACAGGGAAAGGTCAATTACAGCATAATAATATGGAGGGTTTTTTTAAATTTCTTTTAGAAGGGGGCGTTAATGTACACAGGAGCTCATCCCAAAACAGGAATAAGCCTTGCCCCCACTATACTGTCTTGGATGCCTTTTACAAATTAAAACCTCATGTACTCGCCATTTGTGAGCAGACACACACTAGTCAAGGTGTACCCTATAATTTCAAATTTGCTGTATTCTTTCCCAATAAGAATCTCATTGTCAGAAGGGGAAACAAGAATCATCAGATAATCAGATCTGATTATCTACACATGACAGAGCCTGCAAAGTCTTGAAGTTCAAAATACTATTGCATCTTATATCAATTTTTAAATCTTCTCTTGAAACACACATTACATACAAAAATATAGAAATGAAAGCAGAAAGAGTTTTTTAGACAATACACACATACCTCTCCCAGTGATCTGCGGACTTCTGTCATTACACTTTGTATATCTTCCTTTGTGCTGCAATATTCTCCAAGGATCCACAAAGCTCCCCTGTAAATCCTGAGATAAACATAATTAAGACACATTTTCAAGCACTACTGGTAATGATTTTTCCATTGTGCTCTAATGCACAATGAGGAAGTGCTACACTGAACAGCTTTCATGGGGCTATGAGTTACAGCATGAGGAAAAGAAAATACATTGTGCTTACAGTATGCAACAAGCTAAAAAACATATAACGTGACTGGTCAAGACAATCAGCTTTTTGGCACTGCTATCCTATCCCATTGTATAATTATAAACTCAACATTCAAATTAAAATAACTATACAAGGCGAGTTTTCTGCTAAGGATTTATTCCCTGCTACATTAATCTTAACATGTGTAAATTCAATTCCAACACTTTAAAATGTTTAGCTGAACCGCTATTTTATTATGAGGTCAGTTGTAATGTTTCTAATAAACCATACACATTAAAATTGGGTCAGATTTTAAATCTGCTATTAGGTCAATAAGGAAAAATATATTCTAGAAAGATTTCAATCAAAACAGGTATTGTGGATGAACAATCTCCAATTGTTCAATTTAGTCCATCTCCTGCCCAATAGGAGGTTACAATTTTATCTGGATTGTAATGAAGTTATGATTCAGATGTGCGCTAGGTATCACAATAATAAAAGTGGTATAATGTCATAGAAAAAACGTGATTACTTCTGCTATGACTGAAGCTCTACTGGTCCATCAGAATACTAAATGTTTAGTGCCCTGCAAAGGAAGCGTGGACTCCTTGTAGCCACCACTTATTTCATATTCTGCTATGTGGATTGGAATCCTTTTACAGCGAGTTCTCTGATAAAATACAATAAGCAATTTCTAGTTTCCTTCAAATGCATTTAAAATCATATTGTGGTCATCCCTTGGCAACACTAGGTTATTTTAACAATTACAATATTTTAGATTTAGCCTTCATTATCAATGCTGCTGTCTAGTAAATGAAAAGCAAACAACTAACAATTGCATCATAAAAATGAGATTTATTAAGTCAATGTTCCTCACTCAATGCAATATGAATTTATTACGTTTTTCACACAAATTTGGAGGGAAAGAAATTCCCCAGAAATAATTTCCTGGCAAATATAAATTCAATTTAAGTAGGGATGACTGTAGTCTGAAGATTGCTCAAAATAAAATTCTCTCATCTAATTTCCCCTTTCAAACAGTTTCAAAGTGCATGAGAATTCTTAAATTTAGTTAATGTGCAGTGTACTCTTTAAAAATATTTTAAACCTACTTGACAGTTTTAATGGCATGAAAGACTTCCAGCATCTTCTCAACAATAAGTAGTCTGAGATTATCAAACCGCTGAATTGCTTCACGCACAAATTCCAAGACATCAGCAGCTGCAGCTTCATTGTTATCACTTAGGAACTCCATCAACTAGGACAAACAAGAGTGAACATTAGCTCAAACAGCAAAGTTACATAACTTTAAATGATCACAACCTTTACAAGAACTATTACAGCACCAAGTGCTGAACAGCAACAGAAGGAACAAGGACAAGAAACAAAAGTGAATATAGCATTTTGCCTGTCATTTGCAAACTGATGTCAAACCGATTTAAGTTGAGATACCCCAAAGTTCTCTCTACTAATTCAGAAGAATAAAGAGTACGAACTATATATCTTTAATATTCACTCCCTAGAGATCAAAGAATTCATGCCATCATACTTTATTCAAACAAAACTTGCACATTCCAATAAATAAGGACCTTGAAACATTTTTTCTATTTGCATGGGTTACTGTGTACTGATAAAAAAAAATAATTTTTTTCCAGTTCGTGTTCATCAAGAACAGTAATTTTTTTTTTTTTTTTTTTAAACACAAAAAGTAAAACGTATACAAGATGGGTAACTGGCAAATAACAAAGAAGCCCTAAACTTTTTAGGTGAATAAAAGTATAATTTACAATAATGCCATTACAAAGAAGATATTAAAAGGTAAGATCTCAGCTTCAGTTATTTTCTTGGATAAAGTAACAAGGATTTTGGAGATCAGGTAAAACACATTTACTGTAAATATAATTAAATATTTGCATACCACAGGAATAACATTTGCAGCCATATCTGGAAACCGAACGCTACAGGAATGCAGTGTCCTAACAAGCAACTGTCTGTATTTGTCAGTATCTTCATGTTCTGTCACATTGTTTGTTTTAATCACTTCTTTCTTCAAAACAATCACCAACTATAAAACACATCAAATAAGTTTCAACTGAACCACATGCTTCACTGAAGAACAAGATAGAATAAAAGCACACACACACAAAAATACGTATTTACCTCTTCCACATTTCTGGAAGATACAAGATCCAGAGCTAACTGAAGGGTTTTCTTGCGCACTTCTAAATCTGGAGTACTCAGCACTCTCAGTATGTCCATAACGAGATCCTGAAATCAATAAACGCACTTAAATTAAGTTTCAAAACCAACATTTAGTCAGACAAAAAATAATTTTCTTGCTTTAATTAAGTCTTCTTTCTTTTTTGTGCAAATATACAAATTCCAAGCTACAGTACAGAATTACTGAAGAGATCATTTAAAAAATGTGTAAGTTGTGTATAGCATATTGACAGAAAAGTATAATGGTAAAATGATTCATCATCTCAATTAAGATTTTTTCTTTTTTTTCCTGTTCTGAGATTAGTATCTGAAGCCTGACTGTTCATTAAGGAAATTCAAAATATTTGTCTAATACACTGTAATTTTATGTGGCATTTTTCAAACAAACTGAATCATTGAAGTTTTCCAAAAAAGTCACCCTTTATCGCTGCTAGTTCTCATGCTATCAAGTCAAACTAGACCTAAACATAAAATACTGCCCAGCAGCATTTCATAAACACACCAATTATTTTAAATGTTGAAAGTACATTATTTTTTCTTACCATAATGACAGAATTTTATTTTTATTTTAGTTAAAGGAAAATCTAATATAGGTTTTCCCAGTGCAAACAAAAAACAACAACAGTAGGGCACTTACTTGTAACACTCGTTCATGAGCAGGATGCTCCTTCAGCTCAATCAAGCGATCCAATACAATCAGTTTCACATTGTTATCACTCTCTTTAATAATTAAGTCAATGTAACACTGAGCTGCTGCCTAAATAATAAAAAAAAGAAGTGAAAGCATTTTTTAAAAATTTTGTAGAAATTGTGGGAAAGATAAGAACAACTATTCCTAGGAAACACCAATTCCTGGGGGAAATCTAATGAAGGAACACACTCTAGAAACGTATGAGGGGTTATTTTAATAATATGCAAGAGAAACTAGACAGCTGAACAGTTTTCTAGGATTTCATTGCTGGAACTGTTTTCCAATTTAGGGCTCACCTGATGATGCATTTTGTATGCTACAAGGCAGTTTTACCTATTGAGCAGAAACGCTGGCCAGAAATACCCAGAATTTTTTTTTTTTTTTTTTTTTTTACACTAGCACCTAACTCCAGAAAGTTGCAAAGGCAATGGTGAGATTGAAAGCTCATCTAAATTAGCTTTGTTCTTCCAGCTCACAAAGGTAATCTCACCAGCCCATATAACATGATTTATACTCACACTACAAATTTTACAGGCTAAAGATAGGGTCTGTTTCTACGGTTCCATCTTCCAAAAAGATCAAATAAACAAAATATAAGCCCAGCTGCACATTAAGGGGCCAATCTCGCAAGCTTTACTCAAATGAGTAGCCCATATTTACACAGGCTGGTCTACTTGAATGAAGCTACTTGTGTAGGTACAGAACACTCATATAAAGATCATACCATTAGGATATCTGGTTAACTCTGAACATGTTCTGCAAGTTCATGACAAATATTAAACAACAAATTAAAAAAAAACAAAACCTAACATGCTGATGCCAACTTACAGTACACAGACCTGATCCAAAGCTCAATGAAATGAACAGAAAGACTCCCACTGATTTCTACAACATTTGGGTCTCCACAATAGACTAAAACCAAACCAGATATGCCAATACTTGCTGCTGTTTTAAGTATGGTTTTAATTACATGGATTCTAATTATCATATCTTATTTAGCAAAAGTGACTGCACTGTACCAAGAACATAAAAGAATGAATACTTCACTTGACTTTGATACTATAGTAGAGAGACAAGGTTGGAGGGGTAATATCTTTTATTGGACCAATTTCTGTGTGTGTGAGTGTGAGTGTGAGTGTGAGTGTGTGAGAGAGAGAGAGAGAGAGATGCTTTCAAGCCACACAGAGCTCTTCTTCAGGTCTGGGAAAGGTACGCCCACGATCGCAGCAAAATGCAAGGTGGAACAGATTGTTTAGCATAAGTAGTTAGCACATACTGTAAGGTACCATTCAAGGTAGAGTTTTTTATTTTTTTTATACTGTATAGTGTCAGGGTGACTGCCCTTTACATCACAGTCTTCTGTTTACCCATAAAATGGGCACAGAAAAGCCAGCAACAGCATAAGATTGCTCAAACCTTCCCTGTCTCATTAACACACTTCAAACCTGACCTAAAAGGACCACAACTATGGATGAGAGCGTAATTCTGGGCTTGTCTACATTACCCGCTGGATTGACGGGCTGCGATCGATCCAGCGGGAGTCAATTTATCGCGTCTAGTCTAGATGCAATAAATCGACCACCAAGCGCTTTCCTATCAACTCCGGTACTCCACCAGGGCGAGAGGCGCAGGCGGAGTCGACTGGAGAGCGTCAGCCATTGACTTACCGCAGTTAAGACACCGCGGTAAGTAGATCTAAGTATATCAACTTCAGCTACATTTTTCACGTAGCTGAAGTTGCGTAACTTAGATCGAAACCCCCCCCAGTGTAGACCAGGCCTTAGTCTGTAACTATTCAGCATTTGGCTTCATTGCTAAGAGTGCCAAGAAGACTTCAAGTTAGTATCAACTGTGGAGGTGGTTTGTGTAATGTTTACATCTGTCCACTGGCAACTGGATAGAGACCACCAACTCATTTCCTACTGCCCAATGACAAACATCCAGAGGCTCACGTTAGCCAACCACTGAAAAGGGAGATATTCACAAGATGGTTGAGTCATTTGTCTAGTGTCAAAACAGTCATGCAACCAAGAACGTCAATCTTTCAGACATTACACATGTTAAACTGTAATGTATGCTAACCCAGTGTAATGCAGAGAAGTTATTAAAGCATTCTTAAACATCATAAATCATTACAATACCTTGATTGCTGTTGGTGCACTGGAGAGTGTAACTAGTGTTCCTGCTGCTTCATATTTTACTGCAGGACTAGATGATTGCAATAAGTTGTAAATACAGCGTATAAATCGAGCTCTTTCTGATGGATTAGCGTGGCAGACCTAGATGAGAAAACAATAGATGGAAAGCATACTGAAGAAAAATAAAAAGCTATTTTAAAAATACAAGAACCCTAGGAGGCAGTGAAAAGCAGGAATGACCTTGTTCGAGGATAAGAGCCCCTCAGTCTAGATTGATAGGAACCAAGCAATATGAAGTAAGAGAGTATTATACACCTCTTAAGACCTCAACTTGTAAAGAATGTCCTGCATTAGCTAGTCCTATGGAGTACTCCATAAGTAAAAGAGGGAAAAACACAGAAAACAAAAAATATTTATTCCCAGTCCAGGTTAAAGCAAATCAGATGTGTGCAAATTTCACTGCATTAGCTTGCACCTTCTAAGCTTGACCAGTCCATTGCTTTCAAGAGAAATTATATCCAATTCAGCTAAACAATGAGTCATCATTCCCAAATGGACTAGCTGCTCACTTAAGACTAGATTTCTAGTTATGAAACATCTCACTATCCAGCCAACCTTTCTGAACTGTATTTTTTCAATATAGAGTAAAAATGCACATTTATTTATATGACTGCAGTCATTTCCCCATACCTTGTAAATTAGTTCAACAATAACCAGCTGAAGAATGTCACCAAATGTCTGGACTTGGTCAATGCAGGTACTCAGATAATCCAAAGCACGATCCTATGGAAATAAAATAAAAACAAACCATTCAGATTACTTGTAACACTGTTATATTTTAATACAAATTTTAAAGTGATCACAATATAAAAATTAAAAGCACAGATTATTCCTTCTGCTAAATTCAACTTACACTTTTAGAACAGCGCATAAAACAATATACAAAAATAAAATTACAAAATAATGAATTCCTTTAGGCCCTAAAGACCAATACTTTCACACAATTATTTTCTTATTTGTTGCCACCAATCAGGCAAATAGGTCAAAACCCCTTATAACCAAAACATTGCTGCATAACAATTTTTGAGCCAATGAGGCAAAAGGTTTCTGAGCCAAGACTGGAGAGATCATTTGAGAAATAAATAACGAATATAAATTACAAAATGGTAGGTAATGTGGCAAATCTTGACATGGCTAAAAATGATTATGCCTCTCAGTGCCAGTGTATCTCCCTTCCACATAAGGGGACTGCACTGTTTGAAAACAGAGAGGTGTAAAGGCCTCACTTAGCTTTATTCTTCTTCAACATTTCCAAATACTTCACAAATCTATGAATAGTCTTTAAATAAGGGAGGTATATTTGTTATATTAAAACATCTGCCATATCCAATTGTTTACAAATATCTCCATTAGCTCTACGTTTAGAGTTTTCACACTCTTAAAAATCCTGAAAATCTTCAGCAACAGAGATGGACAGAACTGCAGAAGCCAGGGAAACTTTAACATTTTACTTATTAAGTTGTTCCTCCAAAAATAACGTTGGAAGCCAGTGTAAACTCATATTCTGAATAAGCAACCAATAAACGATATACAGGAACCTAACTTCGGTCAAAATAGAACATTCAGCTACCTCTGCCCCAAATTAAACAGCCAAAGTATAACCAGGGAAACTAAGCATACTGTACCTCTCAAAAATTTATTCTTTTGCATGACCTGAGAGCTTTCCCACCTCAAATTTCTGTACCATGTATTTTTTATTAACAAATTAAACCTTTAAAAATATTTCAGTTCTAGTTTATAATTTTCATAGAACTAACTAACTTGCACCTATTTTATGCAAAAGTACCTTGATAATTTACACCACCAACAAATCAAACAACAGGATAGTCAGTCATTAACTAGGTGTTCAAAAATAATTTTAAGGAAAATATCAAAACCATAAGAGAATTAGGACAACCAATTTTACCTGATCTGCATGAATTAGCATCATAAATGCATTTCTTTTGCAGCTTGCATCTTTCTCATTCACCAGGAAATCATGGATCAATTCAGGAGCATCAGGTATAAGATGTTCAAAGTTTCTTTTAAAAAAATATTTTGGAAAAAAAAACGTAAGAAAGGTAAACAGAGTGATACACCGCTACCTCGATATAACGCGACCCGATATAACACGAATTCGGATATAACGCGGTAAAGCAGTGCTCCGGTGGGGGAGGGGGGCGGGGCTGCGCACTCCGGTGGATCAAAGCAAGTTCAATATAACGCGGTAAGATTTTTTGGCTCCCGAGGACAGCGTTATATCGAGGTAGAGGTGTATAGCTAAATACTTAACTGCATGTGTTCTACATAGATGTTTAAAATGTTTAGTGTTAATAGATAGGATCTTTAATTTTTTGTTCAAAAACCTTTGTGCACTTACGTTAAAAAGTGAATGGATGTAAGAAATATACACATTCACATTTATTGAATTATTGCTTGTTACTCTGGTAACTAAGGCTTGGTCTACACTAAACCCCCAAATCGAACAAAGGTACGCAACTTCAGCTACGTGAATAACGTAGCTGAAGTTCGAAGTACCTTAGTTCGAACTTATCTCGGTCCACACGCGGCAGGCAGGCTCCCCCGTCGACTCCGCGGTACTCCTCTCGTCTAGCTGGAGTACCGCAGTCGACGGCGAGCACTTCCTGGTTCGACTTATCGCGTCCAGACAAGACGCGATAAGTCGAACCCAGAACTTCGATTGCCAGCCGCTGAACTAGCGGCTGGGTGTAGACATACCCTTAGACCTCCCCCCCTCAATGGTTTTGGTTTAATTTTAGTTTATTTGTATTATTCAATCACACAAATACAGTTTTCATTTGAGAACAATTTTCACATTACTGCTACTCCATATATAACTAAATTATAATGTTGTACTAATTAATGAAAAAAATAAAAATAAAATTAGCTGGAAGTTGTCCCACTTTCTATGTATTCACAGCAGCTGTACAATCTTCATTCCCAACAACCTAAACTAAGCTGATTTCAGTGGCGCTCTGGGCAGGTGCAGAGGTTTGCTCACTCAAAGTGGCTTGCAGGATCAGGGCCTTAGTTATATTTGAGAAATCTGTAATGGTAAAAGGTACTATATATTCTAAGTCTACTGAATTAAGCAGGATCAAAAATAAAATTCAAATGAATCTCATATTAGCCTCCTTTTCTATCAAGACTGCCCAGGTGAAATCCTCTGACATTAGCCTGGGCCTCCAGGATCCAAAGGTTTAAATAATTTAGAATTTTTACCTGTAAATTGTGTAGATTGCCAGGACTGCATTTCTGCGCACATAGCTGTGACGATGTTCCAAACATGCACGAATAGCTGGCATCAAAGGTTCCAGTAATTCTGCTTCTTTCAGCTTGCAAAGAAAACGAAGAGTAGAGCCCCGGATAAATTCATTGGGGTGCTGAAGATCCTAAAACAAGAAAAGTAAAGTATTAGTGTTTGCTGAGATACCGAGTATTACCATTTTACAATCTTCCCTGCTGTTAAACATTTGCCCTCTGAACAAGAGCTAAAATGACTGATAAAACACTCTCAATTTTGTAATTAAACTGTGTTGAGATATAGGAAAGATTATTTTATTTTACTCCCAATATATAGATTTTAATTCTTTATGACCCTAGAAACATTGGGGGGGTTTAGAACGATTACCACATATGGGATAACAGATCTCTCTTCAGTGGAGAGAGTGGAATAAGGGAAATCTGAATGTCTGTAACCAGAACATAAAGGGCACGTCTGCACTGGCACAGTTATAGCGCTGCTCAGAGAGCGCAGAAGGAAAACCGCTGTTGTGTATTCACACTGATAGTTGTTCACACTTGCGGCACTTGCAGCACTACTCGGAACAGTGCACTCTGGGCAGCTATCCCACAGAGTGCCTCTTTCTCTTTTGCTGCTAAGACTTGTGGGAAGGCGGAGGGGGTCGCGGGTCATCCTGGGTCCAGTCCCAATGCCCCGTGATGCATTGCTTCGCATTCCAGCAATCCCTGTGCTTCCGTCCACATTTGGTGCCATCTTTCAATGGTTTGTGTACTGCGCGCCCTGCCTCTTTCAGGCTGCAGGAATGGATCCCGAACTGCTGACCAGTATGCTGCTCGCTCTGACCAACACGTCACGAGTGGCAGTGGAATTATTCCTTAAACTACAACGGCAAGAGGAGTGTGACATTGATCTTGCCACATGAAGTAGCTACAACACGATATTGCTGGTGGCAGTCAGAGGTGCTGACCACAGTGGAACGCCGCTTTTGGGCTCAGGAAACAAGCACTGAGTGGTGGGATCACGTCGTGATGCACGTCTGGGAGGACAAGCAATGGCTGCAGAACTTTCACATGAGGAAAGCCACATTTATGGGACTGTGTGATGAGCTCGCCCCAGCAAGGACACGAGACTGAGCTGCCCTGTCGCTGGAGAAGCGCGGGGCGATTGCACTGTGGAAGCTGGCTACTCCAGACTTCTACCGATTGGGTGCTAACCAGTTCGGAGTGGGAAAGTCGAACGTTTGAGTCTTGTTGATGGAAGTGTTCAGGGCCATTAATCGCATCCTGCTCCGAAAGACTGTGACTCTGGGCAATGTGCATGACATTGTGGATGGGCTTCCCTAATTGCAGAGGGGCGATAGATGGCACGCATATTCCAATTCTGGCACCAGACCACCTAGCCAGCGAGTACATTAATCGCAAGGGGTATTTCTCAATGGTTCCCAGGCGTTCGTGGATCACCGTGGGCGTTTCAAGGACATTAATGTAGGCTGATCCAGAAAGATGCATGATGCACGCATCTTTGGGAACACTGGCCTGTTCAGGAAGCTGCAAGCAGGGACTTTCTTCCCGTAGGTATCATAATTCCTATGGCTGGAGTGCAGCTGGGACTGCACAGCCTCCTCTCCCCAAATGCTGATGAGATCCAGCAGCTCGGCACTGCTCCAAGCGGGGGATTGCCTGGTGTGTGGAGCAGGCATGGTCACCTGGAAATAAGCACTGAGACCACTGCATGCATCACCAAGCAAACAGGAAGGGGACTTCCAAATTTACAAAGGAATGTACTTGTTATAAATGGAAAACACCCAGACACTTGTGTGGCATTGCTACACTCCTTGGCCTCAAGTTTTTAAGCTTTTACTGCTACTTGTATGATTCCAATATAGTTATTTTTCCTGATCAACAAAAACAAGCAAATTCCTAAAGTGTTTCAGACCCAATGGCAACCATGCTGAATGAATCATGCTGATTACTACATTATTCTGGTTGAAAATGACAATTAAAAAAAAAAATCTAGGAAAAATAACTGACTATCCATATTTTCATAATTTGAAGATTTCATTGGAAAGAATGTGGTCTAGCAATGTCATTGTATTACTCCAGACTGTTCACTATCAAAAACATTTGACTTTGAGATCTAGTTAAGTTTTCTCATCATATTTCAAGGATAATGTTTATCAGATTCAGGACAGTCTCAATGGCACCAAAGCAGTAGCATCAGTGCAGAAAAGAATGAATGTACAGTCTCTTCTAACAGTTCAGAACAGTACGTTTCAAACGCACTGGAAGAGAAATGTTCATTCAACAAGCTGAAGTTATGACCCTCCTAGTGTAAAATGTTTGTGCTCTTTATTGAGAGAGATAATTAATGCCTCCTTGAGGGAAGGCAGTTGCAACCACCCTTAAACATGATAGGGTCTGGTCCCTGCTCAAACAAACTTGCCAATTTCTGCCCTATTTCTAAACTCTTTCTGAGGGATAGGTGACAGAATGCCAAAATCTAGCAGCACCCAATATCCTCCTTTTCTGGACCATATTCAGTTGGGTCTCAAACCTGGACATGGCACAGAATCTATTAAACTCAGCAGTCAATCTCTTCAAAAAGATGGATAAAGGTCAGAAATACAGGTTGATTCTATTAGACCTATTCCACTGATCTTGAGATGGCATCCCACTTCTGCTCTGCCAATGATGTCAGCCTTCACTGCCCACTTGTTAAATTTCGGAACAAGTACTTTCATGCTTTCTCTCTCGCTCCCACTCTGTATGGAAGGAGTCTCCCATAAAGCCTTGCCTTCTTTCTAATCCCTCCTTAAAACATCTTTTTTTGCAATGTCTATAAAATATTTTTGACAACAGCTGGGCAATTAATGTGCTGAGACCACTGTTTATCACACTAACCAGTATTTTCTCATTCTTTCTCACCAAAGGAATCCCTCAGGGTGCAAAATTGAGGCCTCTTTTATTCAGTGTTTGTGAAACCACAGAGGGAAATAGTAAATTCACTATGATGATGCTCAGGTGTATGCCTCTTTCATTTATCTGGACAGAGCTATTTCCTGGAACTTCCAGCGAGTGGACGAAAACTAGCTCACAGGCTAAATCTGATTAATACAAAGGATATTAGAGACACAAGGTGAGTGAGGTAACATCTTTCATTGGACCAACTTCTGTTGGTGAGAGAGAGAAGCTTTCGAGCTTACATAGAGTTCTTCAGGTCTCTGTAAGCTCGAAAGCTTGTCTCTCTCACCAACAGAAGTTGGGTCAATAAAAGATATTACCTCGCCCACCTTGTCTCTCTAAAACCCTGGGACCAACATGGCTAGAACAACACTGCATAAGACAAAAGATATCAGCCATGACCAGAATCGTCATCTTTTATCTGCAACCGGCCAAGACATTACAACCTTTCCTCTCAGATGCAGACTACGCCACCACAGTCCATGCCTTTAGCACTTAACTATGCAAATTATCCAGGGCTACTCCTGAAGGTTACCTGAATGCTCCAGCTAGACCAGACACATATGCCATCTTTTAGAAGGTAAGAGAAATTGATAAGTGCATATTACACATGGACATGTGTCCCGCAATTTCATGTTCCAGTATAACTGAAGGTGCTGGTTACCATCTGTAAAGTCCTAAATAGCATAGGATACAGTTATTTCAAAGATAACCTCTCCCTTTTATACTCCCTCATAACAACTGCATCCAACATTGTTAATCCCCAGAGAAGATATCACAGGAAAAGGTAACAGGGTTGGTCCTCACCACTCAGCTCCACTCCTGCTGGAAAGCAGACAGTGCACATCTTTGTTTAGGCATAACTGAAAATATTTGTATTTTCTTGGCAACAGATCTTCCGGATGGCAATTCCTCGGTTCTGACCCATGCAGGCAGAGTGGTTAGGTCACTGAGGAAAGGAATGCAGTGCATCCACTCATTTGGATCAAAATATTATATTACCTGGATATGCTTTATGTAGAGATTGGTCAGATACAAGGGTGATAGGGCGTAAAAACATACAATAACAAACATGTTTACCTTTCTATAGGCATCACATACAAGGATCATTTCTTGTAATAGTTTGCCGTCTGGAGTGGTCTTCGGAACTATCTCCCAAAAGACTAACAGCAGTTTTTTGATGGTATGATCTTGAAGAGGCAGTACAAAACGAATAATAGTCATCAGAAGTCCAGGTAGTTTTTCACCGTTCAGGATCATGATAATTACTTTCTTCAAGGCCTCTGTCTTAGACTTTACATCTCCTTTTTCTGGTAGAGGGAAGGAGGAGTTCAAAAGTAAGCACAGCAATTATAGAAAGTGACAAATAACAGGCGCTCCCAGAATTACTTAAATAATCAAGGCTTGTTAAAACAATCTAACAGAAATATTGATACTTGATGCCAGCAAATATAAACCTTGCCCCTCAGGACACCACCACATTACTATTTTTTTGTATTACCGAAGTACCTAGGAGCCCTAGTCACAGACCAGGACCCGACTGTAATGAATTCATACTCCTAAATTTAAGAGAATAATAAAGAGCATAGGAGGTTTAATAAATACAGCTGTAATTTAGCTTCCACTGCAGCTCAGTTAATTCGGAATTCCATTACTGACAGACCATATTCACACCAAGAAATCACAATGCATTATGGTGTTGCAGTCACTCTTGCATATGAACCTCTTACTTCTGGGGGAATTCTGCGCCACTGTGTATGCACAGAATTTATGTTCCCTGCAAACTTCTTTGCTTCCTCGCAGAAAAGTGACTTTGACAAGGAAGCAAAGGGAAGCCACAAGAGCAGTCATGCAACCCTCCCCAGCAGTATGTTTTGGATGCCAAGGGCAGCTGGCAGAAACGTAAATTATTGTGGAGCAGGGGGCGGGACTGGGGAAGACAAGGCTGGTGGCTCCTACCCTGCACCAGGCTCAGCTGCTAGTCCCGGCTGGGCTGGGGAGGACAGGACATCCTCTTCACCTGCACGGCATCTGGAGCTGGGTCAGACCCACGCTCAGCTTTCTCCCCCAGCTGCAGGAAGCTCTGCAAACTTCCCCTGCCCCCACTTCCTGCACCCATTGCTCCTCAACTGCAGGGAGAGGGATCCCTCTACAGGAGCTGCTCCTCCATCTCCCCAAACCCCGCGCATCCAGACCCCCTCATACCCAGACCCTCCTGCCGAGCCACACACCCCGCACTCAGAAGCCCCCCGATGAGCCCCCCTCTCCCTGCACCTGAGCCACCCCAAGCCACCAGCACCCAGATCCCCACGCCACCGAGCCCCAACTAGCTGCACCTGGATCCCCACCCCACTAAGCCCCACTTCCCCAGCATCTGGCCCCCCCACTAAGACCCCCCCCGCTGAGCTCTATCCCCCCCACACCCAGACACCCCCCCTGAGCCCCAACCACTTTCACCTGGGCCCCCCCTGCAGACTCCCATTACCGTTGCACGAAGAACCCCCTAACAAGCCCCTGTGCATCCAGATCCAGCACTGAGCCGCCCACACCCAAACTGCCCCACACAGAACCCTCTCAACCCACACCTGGATCCCCCCACACTAAGCCCCTCCACACTTGGATCTTGCCTTTCTGAGCCTGCCTGCCCACACCTAGTGTGCCTGGCACAGAGGGGCAGGGCCCTGAGGTGTTTCTGGGGCAGGCCCGGTCCTTGCGCTGTGTCAGGGTTGGGTGCAGCCTCGTTGCTGAGTCCATGTCCGGGGGGGAGCTGCACAGTCATCTCCCACCTCTGTGCAGCCAGTGGCCTGTGCTCCCCAATGTCATGCTGGAGCCTCCACATTTATTTAACAAATAAAATTTGCACAATTTTAAACTATTGTGTGCAAAAATTTTAATTTTTTGACGCAGAATGCCCTCAGGAGTAACCTCTGAGTTAGTAAGAATGCAATAGTGTTGGCAATATGTACTGAACTACAAAGCAGCAAAAACTTCAAGACTCCAGTATGTCAGTGCATTCCTTATTAAATCTACCTGAGCACAAACACATACTACATAAATAGGAGAGAGAGAGAGAGAGAGAGAGAGTATTAACAGACACAAAAAGAGAGACTTGCTCAGATACAATAAAGATAGGATCTATATAAATGACAGGTCATTAGTGGACAGTTCCTACCAGAACACTGTAAACAGAGGAAATTTTCACTCAAGTTTCAAAATCCAACATTAATCCAGCAAACCTAAATTCACAGATTACTGTATACATCAGTATTTAATTAGAAGAGATTGCTAGGGCCATCAGACATTTATTTTGCAATGGACAGACTTCCGACCCAACGCATACTAATGTAGGTACTCTTGAATTATGGGGAGGAAATGGTTTCTAGAGTACCACTGGCTTTGAAAATGTTAATTATTTCAAGTGGTTTTTGGAGGTATTCTCCTCTTTCCTTTCTCTGCTTTCAGAACGGTTGAAGTATTCCAACATGTGATGTGGTAGAACAGAACTTGCAACCAGGAACTCTCCTTGAAATCTGCATTGTAGGACTACTTTGACTCTCACTGACCTCAATAGGAAATGCTATCTTTCTACATACATAAAATACAGAAAGGTATTAAGTTTTACCTTTTTATGCATGGGAGGCAGTTTACTTAGTGGTTTGAATTTGTATTTGAGGGGCCAAAAAGAATTTGTATTTGAGGGGCCATGAAGTAACCTCTCTCTATTTCCCATCCTCAAACAGGTCTTAGGATACTTGAAACGTATTCTAGTCATAAAACAGAATGATAACTTTGCCCCAAGGTTTCTTGCTTTTAAATTGTAAGGCATATTCTGATAGGTGCTTTAGATCCTATATCAACCAACTAGGGCCTCAATTCAGCAAGGTATTTAAGTGAGTGAGTAGTCCCATTGAACTCCCATGCTTAAGTACAGGTTTGTATCCTGACTACTTTTTTATTGGACTAGAATAGTAATGTTATGGATAAAGGTTCAGTTTTTCAATTACCAAATTAAGTTTATTTAAACATAATATTACAGTTATGTACTTTTTAAAATAACTATAAAAGCCATTCGTTTAAGAGAGATTGGTTTTATATTTTACAGTAAGTATTACATTAAAGGTTATCATATAATGAGAGAAAAACAAGAGTTAATTCAAGTAAAACTGAATCGCCTGCTAGCCATAAAGTATACTACTTGCCTAGGTCATTTTTTAAGCTGATTTCAGAAGGCGGTTCTGAATCCATTGGAACATTAATCAACGTATAACATACATTCTCTGCGGCTGTCATTGTTCTTGGTTACAAATACTTTCTTAATAGAAGAACTACTTCCGACAAATATCAGGCACTCTAGAAAAAACAAAATGAAATTAATGGAACGTGTTAATAACTGCATAACAAACAGCACAAAAGTATGCTATTGCAATGTCCACAAAAATATTAAATATTCAATTTCTCTAAAAATTTGGATTTAAAGGACTTTTAAACTACATTATTCAAAACCTCTCCCGAAAGAGTGAGATCCCCTTTCACTTTATAAATGTTCTTATTAATACTGTGTATTAAAATGTTAAAACAAGTATGCAAAATCCCCAAATAAAAAGTAATATGCAAAAATCTAATGAATATGTGTACTACTTAGATACTAATGAACAAGTTTTATAGGGACAGCTAGGGTCTAGTGGATTGAGTATAAGGCAGATCTATGAATGAAGAGTGCTGTAAGAGCAAAGTATTATAGTAAATAAAATAGTAACAAATACTATAACCAAGATTATAACATTTCCTTTAACCCTTTAAAGATTAATTTAAACTGGAACAACTGTAAAGAAGAACTACTGAAACAAGTTAATTTAGTTTAAACTGGAACAAATTGCTTAGGGCAGTTATGGAATCTCCATCATTGGAGGTTTTTAAGAACAGGTTAAACAAACACCTGTCAGGAATGGTCTAGTTATTATGTACTTCTGCCATGAGTGCAGGGGACTGGACTAAATTATCTGTTGAGGTATCTTCCAGTCCCACACTTCTATGATCAATGGAATGAAGAGCCTGTCTTACAGACTGGAAGAGCCTGGCTTGTTTACTCTAGCAAATAGGCGGCTGAAAGGTGTATGATTGCTCTCTATAAATACATTAGAGGGGTAAGTACCAGGGAGAGTAAAGAGCTATTTAAGCTAAAGGAAAAATGTTGGCACAAGAATATTCATATAAACTGGCCATGAACAAATCCAGGCTGGAAATTAGAAGGTTTCTAACCATCAGAGGGATGAAGTTCTGGAACAGCCTCCAAATAGGAATTGTTTGCAATATGGAAGCTCTCACTTGGGCTAAGCTAACTTGAGAGAAGCTAACTATGCCGTGAAGCTATAACCTTAAGTTAGGAGAGTAAAACTTGTAATGTTTGTTAGTCCTTTCACAAAAATCAGAACACATATTGGAGATCACCCTGTAATAACTGAGCATTTTTGGTGTAAGAAAAGTCCTTTTCACTAGTTCTTATTAAGAACTGGTATATAAAACAAGTTTGAAGCTTTACATAGTAATGTTTTAATTAGGAGGAGATTTTTTTTTTAAATGAAAAACTGTCACTTTTCCAATATTTTGTAAGCATCTGTTCAATTAATTTCAAATTTAAGAATTCTCTGGGTAAAGATTACCCATGATAAATTTATGCAGAAAGTATCTTTTTTTTTTCCTGGAAGTTGTATGTAAGTAGTTCAGAATTGGTCTCAAAATGGAAATTGAAATATACCCTTTACTATGGAGTTTTGAGACTCTCTATTTTAATATTTATTAAGCATGCTATATAGTATGAGATTTTTAGCCACCAGAGTAGTAAACTTGGAGCATTTGAGCCCCAAAGCATAATCAGGAAGTTATAAATGTGTGAAAACAGGTGCGATCAAGTCAGAGTTTAAGGGCAGAAAGATCATTTAGTCTGACTTCCTATAGCACAGGCCACCAATACTAACAAGCACTCGCACACTAATCCAGCAACTAAAATGAGATCAAAGTATTACAGCCCATAGGAGACTAGACTATATTATGTGCCACAGTCAGAAAATAGGAGGGACTAAGGAGCACTCAAGGAAAATAAGGCCATTGCGAGAAATGTAATGAATTCTTTGCATAGGTCTTCACGACTGAGTAGGTGAGGGAGCCGGAGCCATTCTTTTTAGGTGACAAATCTGAGGAACTGTCCCAGATTGAGGCATCATAGGAGGTGGTTTTGGAACAAATTGATAAATTAAACAGGAATAAATCACCAGGACCAGATGGTATTCACCCAAGAGTTCTGAAGAAACTCAAAATTGCAGAACTACTAACTGTGATATGTAACTTATCATTCAAATCAGCTTCTGTACCAGATGAGTGGAGGATAGCTAATGTGACGCCAATTTTTTTAAAAGGCTCCTGAGGTGATCCTGGCAGTTACAGGCTGGTAAACCTAACTTCAGTACCAGGCAAATTGGTTGAAACTATAGTAAAGAACAGAATTATCAGACACATAGATGAACACAATTTGTTGGGGGAAGAGTCAACATGGTTTTTGTAAAGGGAAATCATGCCTCACCAATCTATTAGGATTCTCTGACGGGGTCAACAAGCATATGGACAGGAGTGATCCAGGGGATATAGTTTACTTAGATATTCAGAAAGCCTTTGACAAAGTCCCTCACCAAAGGCTCTTAAGTAAAGTAAGCTGTCATGGGATAAGAGGGAAGGTCCTCTCATGGATCCATAACTGGTTTAAAGATAGGAAATGAACGGTAGGAATAAATAGTCAGTTTTCAGAATGGAGAGACGTAAATAGTGGAGTCCCCCAGGGATCTGTCCTCGGATTAGTACTATTTAACATATTCATAAATGAACTGCAAAAAGGGGTAAACAATGAGGTGGCAAAATTTACAGATGATACAAAACTGCTAAAGATAGTTAAATTCAAAGCAGACTGCAAAGAGTTACAAAGGGATCTCTCAAAACTGGGTGACAGCAACAAAATGGCACATGAAATTCAATGTTGATAAATGTAAAGTAACGCACATTGGAAAACATAATTCCAACTATACATATAAAATGATGGGGGTCTAAATTAGCTGTTACCACTCAAGAAAGAGATCTTGGAGTCATTGTGGATAGTTCTCTGAAAACATCCCCGCAATGTGCAGCGGCAGTCAAATATATAGAGCAGTATAAACAAGTCATTGTCTGTATGAAATTTTAGTTTGTACTCATTTCGTTAGTGCTTTTTGTGTAACCTGTTGTAAAACTAGGCAAATATCTAGATGAGTTGATGTACCCTCCCTGGAAGACCTCTGCATACCCCCAGTGATACACGCACCCCTGGTTGAGAACCATTGCCCTAAACCTGGGGTTCCCAAACTTGGTTCGCGGCTTGTTCAGGGTAAGCCCCTGGCGGGCCGCAAGATGCTTTGTTTACCTAAGCGTCCGCAGGTACAGCCGCTCACAGTGGCCGTGGTTCGCCGTTCCCGGCCAATGGGACCTGCGGGAAGCGGTGCAGGCCACAAAGGGGGGCTCCACTGCGCTCACTCCCTGGCAGGGAACGGCAAACCGTGGACACTGGGAGCTGCCGTACCTGCGGACACTCAGGTAAACAAAGCATCTTGCGGTCCGCCAGGGGCTTACCCTGAACAAGCCGCGAACCAAGTTTGGGAACCCCTGCCCTAAACCATTAGCTCTAGAACTACAGAGCTGCATAACTTTGTTTTTCAGCAACTTCACTTATTTTAAAACTCACTGCTCTGAAGATACAGGATAAAAACATCTATGAAGAATGCAAGGGAAATTTACAATTGCTTATAACATCAGTTCAAAAAGTTCTCTTTTCATTTTTCCAAGTGACTATTCCTTGATGAGAACTAGCCACATAATTAGTTCGAAGTTTTAAAGTTCAGTCATTTTTATTTCACATTTTTCCTAATGTTTATGAAAAAAAAAAATGATGAATGGCTATACAAAAAAAAAAAAAAATACCATGGCCCCAAACCTGCAAACTCATATGGACTCAATTTTAAGTATGTGCCATTGACTTCAATGGGAATGCTCTGACACAAAGCTATTCAAATACGTCTGCAAAATGGAAACTTAAATAGTAAATAGAAATAAAGGCTTATTTCATAATCTCCATTATAAATATCGATAGATATAACTTTTAATTGTCCATGTATTCATATTGACTCCATAGATTTAACAATATTGCTAAATAACCATTACAAAAAACATATGTTTAAGAATCTAGAAATAAAACAAACATCAGTTGAATAGATCTTTGTTGAAACTTTCCACAAACAATTTTGACACAAAGTTTCAGTCCAAAGAGGATGAGAATTTTTAGAAACGGTGAAAAGAAATCATAACAAAGTAAAGCTGCAACCTCACACTCCGACCCTGCGATAAGTTTTGGGCAGGCGGCCTCAGCCTCAGGTCCAGAGGGGCAAAGCCAATCGCAGGGTGGGCGGGGGGCTCAAGTTTAAACCTCTCTGCATCACCTCCCCGGGAGCCTCCCCAGCGCTGCACAGACCCGGCCCGATGGTTCCGCGGCTGCCCCCACAGCTCACGAAAGAAATCGGTGGCAGACCGGGGACAGAACCCGGGGGTCCCGGCTCCCCGCTCTGGCACTGGGCCGCGCTACCCGCTGACTAGGCGGCTACACGGCGACCGTACCCCCCCGGACCCTCAAGCACAGGGACCGGAACGGCTGCCCGCCCAGGGGAGCCGCTCCCACCCCGAGGCTGCGGCTCAGCCCAGACCGAGGCCGCTGGCTCCGGAAGGGGGCGGGGGCCGGTCTCGGGCCGCGGCCCTCAGGGCGACACGGGCCCAGCAGAGGAGTTCGCGCCCTCCACGCTCCGCAGCCGCCCTAGGCGCTGTACCTGCCTCCCGTGCTGCCCGCGGCAGGCCCCCTCCAGCCCCGGCTCTGCCCGCTGCTCCGCTGTGGCTGACGTGGAACCGCTCCCCCCAACAGTGACGGACCACATCGGTAGTACGGCGGCCGCAGCAGGACACGCCTCCTCCGTACGCAACAATGCACAAATGGGGGCTCCTGCGCGCGCACCCCGCGCGGGAGAGGAGGGGCCGGCGGTGGCTGGGTCCTGTGCGTTTGAATGGGCCAGTCCCAGCCCCGCGCGCACCCCTCACTCGCCGCGTGACCGTGACCCCTGACCGTCCGAGTCGCCCTCCTGGCACTGGCAGGCACGCAGGAGGCCACGGAGCAGCCACGTCACTTCCCCCGGGTGTTCTTGGCAGGGCTGGGCAAAGCGCGTTGCATGCCCCGGGCAGGCGGCTGTTCGCGTGTTGGGGCCCGGCCGGTGTAGTGTAGGAATGTGCTACTGGTAGCAGCTACTGGTACGTTGGTTTGTAAGAAACTGCTACTGTATAAAACTGCTGCCTAATGTAGCAGTTTTCGATTCACCCCCTTTGCCCCTTTTTAACCCCTGTAAATAGCAGGCAGCAGCATGTTACAGCTAAGAAGGGCAGGGTGAAGGGTAGTGGCTTCAGCAGATGAACGGAGCATGCTCCATACACCATAAATAGCATATTCCTATGCAAAGCAATTTACTACACTACACCAGCTGCTAATGAAACTTGTGTCTGGGCCTGAGCTTCTCTGCTGCAAATAGGGTGACCAGATGTCCCCATTTTATAGGGACAGTCCCGATTTTTGGGTCTTTTTCCTTATATAGGCTCCTATTACCCCCCCACCCCCTGTCCCGATTTTTCACACTTGCTGTCTGGTCACCCTAGCTGTCAAACAGAGAACAAGCCCCATTATAAACAGTGTGCGCACCACACAGACAGCTCACCACAAAAACCGGTCAGAGCTGGTCCAGTTGCCCTGCGAGCTAGCTAGCATGCTGTCCCAGTGGCTGAGCCTCCTTGGGTCACATCGCACACAGCATGACTAGTCAGTCTCTGGTAGCGATCAGCTCTCCCATGGGCTAAATAGGTAAGAGAAACATTTCTGGGAAAGTAGAGTAGCAAGTTGTACTAATGATTGCTTAAAATAGGAAAAAGAAAATGGGAAGAAAACGACTACATATGATTTTACCGCAATTAGAAAACAATGTGAAGAATTCATTGCTGATTGCACAAAGCAAGACTGTACAAAGTTCTTACCACAGTCAGAAACTGAACATCCAGCTACAGACACACAAACCTGAAGATTTCAAAGAAAATGTGAAACCTTTAAAAATCAACAAGACTATTACTCATACTATCAACACAAACATCCTTCAGGCATCTTACCTGTTTTCTCAGTAAATCACACCAGCCTATAAGGTGCAATATCACTTCAGAAAATCTTATCCTTTCCTGGGTAGTAGACAGTTTCAGAAGTTACAGTGCCTGAAGCAGCTACCAAATTAAAAACTCTATTTCCCCCATATCACTGCAGGTAATAGAGCAACTGCTTTTAAACCCCCAGGAAGAGCATCTAGCATGTAATTCCAGATAACTGATAAACCTGTTCCTGTACAACTTTGAAGTTCATGAGGCATACATGTCTGATAATTCTCTCTTAGGGGGGGAACAAAAAAACAAAAAAAAAAACCCCTTGCTGTTTGGTATAGATGTTCCAGAAAAAAGAAAAGGCTTATTTAAGATATTTGTGGAAGCAGTCAAAGATTTGTCATGTTCAGTGAGGAGAGGGTATTTCCTTGTGCATGGAGGAGGTCAGCAATAACAGAATAGCAGATGAGTCACATGGATCCAAATCCTAGTAGTTAATATAGTGTGCATTCACTGTCTCTTACACTATCATACTATACTCCCCCCACTGAGCCCTAACTACCTTCACCTGAACTCCCCTGCAGAGTCCCATTCCCCCTGCACCCAGAACCCCACACCGAGCCCCTGTGCATCTAGATTCTCCCCTGCACCCAGATCCTCCGACTCCCGGTGGATAAAAATCAATGATTGCGGGGGGGGGGTAAATGAGTTCCAATAGTTCATGGATTAGGGACCCAATTTTATGAGGTTCCAGGGGCATCTGTATAGATTATTTAGGTTAATCTTTCTATCTACCCAATGGCACTCAGTACTCAGTCTAGAAGATACCATTAGAGATGCTTAGTTTTGCAGTCCTCAAACTGGATTTGTGTCTCCAGAAATAACATGCTTGTTAACAGCAACAATGCTTGTTAACAACAACAATAAATAAATAAATAATATAGAGATGAGAAATAACAGACCTCAACCCTATTGTCCCTCTGCAAATTTGTGTACAGAGTCAATCCCTTACCTCTCTCTAAACATGCAAAGTATCAAAAAGTTCAATGAATAGAAGATTGTTGGGGGCGGAATAGATCTGGACAAGGAGAAGAAGTCTGGAGATAAATGTGAGAAGTGAGGGACAGGCAGTAGAAAGAAAAGTGAAACTGTTTGAGCAACATATTCCAGAAGTCTTGAGGTCTTTCTGAGTGCAGCCTTCATTTATTTGAGATCTACCATGCTATTCTCTCACTAGAAGGGAAAATCTATAATGGCAGCAGGCCATAAAAGAGACTCAGTTTGGGAATAAGAACCATTCGAGAAATATATGTTTGCTGATGATGTTTTAAAGAAAGTCACCCCAGTAAACTGGTGCAAGTCACGTAAGCACTTGGATTCAGAGACTGTTGAAGTGATAATCTCACTTTTAACAGCAGTAGCTTCTTCTGTTGGTGGAGGAAGAAAATTTTCTTCCTTTGGACTAATTCAGTCCAAATTGAGAAATCGTTTGGGACCTGAAAAAGCAGGAAAGCTTGTTTTTCTTTTCCAGATTATGAACAAACAGGAAAATGAAGATGAAGATGACTGAGTTAGCGCCAGAAGCCAATATTTTAAGTTTCTCATGTTGACCTGGCTGATGTAGTCGATTTAATTTTTGTATTAAAAAAAAAACTATTTTAGTTAAAACAATTTTAACAAAAACAAACCTGATTTTAAAAAACTTAAGTTTAATTAAATTCAAAAATTCATGCACTAGATTTGTTAAAATATTATGTTTGCTGTTGAAGAAAAAAATCCAGAATACATAATGTTGTTTTAGTTAAATAAAAACAATTTAAATGTCTGTCTGGTGATGGTAATACAGCATGGCAAGAAAATCCTCCAAATACTAATGATTAACCCGTTGAATTGGAGATAGTTCACCTCCCAATGACTTCATAAATATCTGCTTCAATTACCTTTGGTAAATGAAATAACCAATCATTCATTTTCTGATATAGCTGTAAAACTAATCTGAAAAGTTTTCAAAATAAATCACTTTAAAAATGTATAGTGTGTACCTTCTAAAAATGAAACCTACATGTATCTCTGAGTTGTGAAGAATGTGTGTTAAGGTTATAACAACCAACAAGAACGCACTTTTATGTAGAAATCCATGATTAAATCGAGTCTTCCTGACTAGTGATTTAAATCAAATTCATCCTGTCCTCACCGAGCTGTCCGTACCCAGATTGCACCTCCCAGAACCCTGGTACTCTTAAGGGAATTCTGTACAAAAAAATTAAAAAAAAAAAAATCTGCTAATTTCTGCATATTTTAATTTTCAAAATAATAATATAATCACAGCAATTTCAATTATTTTGGTAATTTATTTCAAAATACTTGTCAGCAAATAATTGAAAATGGTGTGATTATATCATTGTGTTATTTTGACAAATAAAATTTGCAGAATTTTAAAAATTTGTGCACAGAGAATTTAATTTTTTGGCACAGAATTCCCTCAGTAGTAATACTATTATTGTTGAGGAAATGCCTGAAAAATCACCATGAGGTCCTGCAAGAAGTTGACAAAATCAAAAACTTAATTCATGAGAGACAAGGTAATGTGTTTTACTGGACCATCTTCTGTTGGGTGGAAGGTACAACCTAGCTCGGTGCTGCTTGAAAGCTTATACCTTCCACCAGTAGTTTGTCCAATAAAAAGGTATTATCTTACCTACCTTGTCCCTCATATCCTGGGACCAACAAGGCTACAACACAGCTATGAATTAAGTTGTTTGCAATCTAATGATTTCTTGTTCTGTATTGCTTCATGATGGCATAGGTTCCTTTAACCAGTAACTCTTGTTTCATACTTAAGAGGTACGTCTCCCACAGTAAAGTACTAACTGAACCCAAAGAGTGCATAAGTACAGGTTTTCTCAAAGGAGCAGCAATTTCTACTTGCTGATTCTTTCAATTCATCTTGAGTGGAATGCTTAGCCTACCTTGATGACATCTTTGGACATCTAGACAGGTTGAACTCCTCTCTTCTGGGATGGAATATGAATGTACTGTCCATGTATAACAAAAGTAGAAGCATTCAATAGATATTTTGGAAATTAGTCTTCTGAATATGAAGAGAAGACTTCTAGTAATTTCCCCTTGTTTCAGGTTTTGAGGAAACAGAGAAGCCAACTTGAAAGCACCCATAAAGCCTGCAACTGACTTCCACTATCCAGGAACTCAGATTTTGGCTGTCTCTGAATTGGCACCATTTAGCTTTAGTTGCTGAAGTTCAAAAGTTCACATTTCTTTTACATCTTTCTATTTTCATGAGTCTTAGATAGCAAAAGTAAAAACAAAATAATTACCTAAAAACTATTTCTCCAGTTCAAGCTTGTGCATGGCATCTTACATCATCAAAAAGGCAAATAAAGTGCCCATATTAAAAAAAAAAAGGGGGGGGGAGGAGGGAGAAGAGAGAGAACCTGGGGAACTACAGACCAGTTTAGCCTCACTTCAGTCCATGGCAAAATCATGGAGCAGGGCCTCAAGGAATCCATTTTGAAGCACTTGGAGGAGAGGAAGGTGATCAGGAACAGTCAACATGGATTCACCAAGGGCAAGTCATGCCTGATCAACCTGATTGCCTTCTATGATGAGATAACTGGCTCTGTGGATATGGGGAAAGCAGTGGATGTGATATAGCTTGACTTTAGCAAAGCTTTTGATACAGTATTCTTGCCAGCAAGTTAGCTGGCTAGATTGTCGGGTTCAACGGGTAGTGATCAACGGCTCAATGTCTAGTTGGCAGCCAGTATCAAGCGGAGTGCCCATGGGGTCGGTCCTGGGGCCGGTTTTGTTCAACATCTTTATTAGTGATCTGGATGATGGGATGAATTGCACCCTCAGCAAGGTCGCAGATGACACTAACCTTGGGGGAGAGGTAGATATGCTGGAG